TAAAGCAAATGGAAGAAATGACAAGAAAAAGAGCTGAACAGAAGATTTCAAAGAGCAGCTCAAGAAGACAAAGTCGATTATTATAATGAGATGTGCAAAGACCAGGAGTTAGAAAAGCAAAAGAAAAGAACACACTCAGCATTTTTCAAGCTGAAAGAACTGAAGAAAAGATTTAAGCCTCAAGTTGCAATATTGGAAGATTCTATGGGCAGTATATTGAATGATGCAGGAAACATCAAAAGAAGAAGGAAGGAATATACAGAGTCACTGTACCAAAAAGAATTGGTTGATGTTCATCCATTTCAAGAGATGGCATATGATCAAGAACTCGTGGTATTGAAGGAAGAAGTCATCTGGAATGCAGTTTTAGATGGCATGAAGCATTATTCTAACTTAATTTTGTACCAAAGGATAAATCAACAGAATAGGAAGTGTGGAGATTTTAGGTATAAATGTGGTACATGATAAAGTTGGCAGAGCTGCATTCAGAACCATGAGAAAGGATAGATTCCTCAGTAATGGTGTTTAACCATTTGATTTACTCTTTGGTACAACATCAAGTTAGAATAATGCTTCATGCCGTATAAAAATGCATTCCAGATGACTAAAAAGTTGGACAAAAACATAAAGCAACTAGATAGAAACATTGTACTTAGTTTTTTCCAGGTACCCTACTAGGGGATCCAGTGGTGTATGCTTCCATACTTAAAGGATCTTTCAGTCTGTTGGTAGTTTATGGGAAAGAGAAGAGTACCTAAGAATGGAGTGAGTTTTCTATGTTTTAAGTTCCTCTGAAACATCAAACTGGAAGTGTTCAGGAGGCAGTTGGGATGTACTGTTACAAAACTTGGGAAACAGATCTGTGCTAGACATTAGATTGGGAAGTCTTTAGATAATTGTCTGACTGTTACCTCCTCATTAATACTAAACTTAGTACATTCCTTATAGCAGATACCCCCTTTTTTTTTTTTTCCCCTAATGTGCTAAATCTTTTGTCAGCAGAGATAGCATAGTGTTTTGAAGTTTGTCTTTTATCATTAGCCTGAAAAGGAATCTTGGTGTGATGGGACACAGTCACAGATTTGTGTTAAGGAAACCTTAATATGTATATGAATATTTATGAATATTCTTAACAACTGGGTTTATAAAGTTGTGGTTCCACAAACTGTTTGTTTGGAATTGCTGTGGGAAAACAAAGTTATTTGGATGAATGTGTGAGAATAACATCTCTTTTAAGAAACCTAGAAAATAAATAGTTTCTATGGTATCATATGGACAGAAGTTAGATTTCAATTGATTAAGGAAGAAATGGGAAGAGGAATCTGAGTATAAATTAACTCCTGTGCTGGGAAAGGGGTGAAAGAGCCCATAGGAAGTCCCAGTGGAGGATAGTCCCCAACTTAAGATGTATTCGAGTTACAACCACACTATGGCCGTCTGTTTTTGTGTACATTTCTTTGTTAGTGATATGTACTTTATACAGTGTGGCAGTGCATAATTTACTGATGCCATAGTATCTGTGAGTTTATATGTAATGGTTCCAACCCTTAATGAGAAATAAAAAATGAATTTATAAAGATATTGATAATAAAAGGCAATAAAATGAAAACTTTAAAAAAAATGAGATATTCGACTTGCATAAGAACCAACTTACAATGGAATAGAAACAGAACCCCATTGTAAGTCAGGAACTCCCTGTTGAAGGCTAAGGTTAGGAAACATTTTGCTTTTTAAGATCAGAACCATATATTTGTATGCTATGGTGGGAGAGTCAGAAGGAAAAATTGGAGGTGCAATGCTGGGGAGATCATTCATGCCACAGTTGGATGGCATGAGGAATGGGATCTATAGACCATAGCTGAGATATGGAAGAGATCTGTTTCACTGAGACAGAAGGGAAGGAAATGAAGAAATAGAGAGACTCAGATAAGTAGGTGAGAAGCAGAAAGAACAGTATTGATGGGAAGTTGTTGCTTCTTCCTACACAAGAAATCAGGGTCATGTGCTGAAAGAAAACAGGGTTTCTGTGAGAGGTGATTGAGGTTTATCATAGCTGGTGAGGGTCATAAGAGGTGGGGTACTGTTTCAGGCATCTACAACTACCCACACCTTTGAGGACTTGTTAGAGGGTCTCACAGAACTCAGACTGTTCCATTCACAGCTGAAATTTATTACAGCAAACGATACACAGCATGACCGGCAGGGGGAAAGACTTCCCTAAATGGAGTCTAGAGGAGTCTGGGTTCAGGTTTCCAAAAGTTTTCCTCTCATAAGTGAGGATAGAGACTACACAGACCATAATCTTTCAACAACTAAATACATCAACATGTGCACAGAGTTTCTGTCCAGGGAAGCCCACTTAACACCTCAGGTAACTCAAAAACTAAAACCAAACGCATTGCCATCAAGTCGATTCCTACTCAGCGACCTCCTTTGGGTTTCTGAAGTGGTAAATCTTTATGGGAGTAGATTGCCCAGCCTTCGTTCCGTGGAGTGGCTGGTGGGTTTGAACTGCCAACCTTCTGGTTAGCAGTCAAATGCTTTAGGCACTGTGCTACCAGAGCTGCTTCAGGTACCTCAAGAACACCTCAAGTAGTGGAGTAGAGAAAGTGAGTTATTAGATTTATCCAGATTTGAGGTTTTATAGAGGCTGAAAGTTCTAAGAGGAGAGTAGGAATGGAGGGAAGACAGTAGACAGGATAATAATGAGACAGCTCAGGTGAGAATTTGGGGGTATATGATAGGTGAGAGAGGAAAAGAAGAAGCCAGGCAAGGTGACTGTTGGATTGGGGGAAAAGTCACCAGACTGACACAAGGGAACTTTGTGATGATGGCAAGGGTACAAGGTTGGGACGTGGGCTTCACTGATTTTTCCTTCTCTGGGCTGGTGAAAATCTGACTTAGTATCATTGGTGGTTTGTTTGGTTTTTTTCAATTCTCTAATTTAGAACATTAGCTGTAGTTTTTATCTCACAAAGGAACCTCATCTTGTTTAATCTTCTAGTATGATCTAGTTGAAAACAAATTTGATATGTATGCCTGTGCTATGAATTCTGTCTTCTTTAAAAAAAAAAAAAAAATTCTAGGGATTTTAAGATTATTTATTCTAATATACTAAGTTTTCCTCTGTTCTTTGCTTGCTCTTTCATCAAAGAGGATACTTCTGACAAGATGGATGGTAAGAACTTCCTTTCCTAATTCTGTTACTAGAGATTTTTATGACTCTGGATTCTGTGTAATATATTTGTTCATTCTTCTCTTAATTTCTAGCAAATATACTACTTACTTATCAGCAGTCCTAATGTGAAAATGACAGCATAGTTCTTCGATTAGATTTTGAGTTGAACATATCCAACCCTTTCCATTTAAATACTAGGTTATTACTGTTTGTTGTAAGTTAAATAAAACATCTTGAACATTTTTACTGAAATTGTTAGCAGTATGCTTCTGAGTGTTCTGTTTCTTAAGTCTTTCTCTAAAATATTAGATTCGGAAGAATGGAAAGGACTCTCATACATCGTTTGAGTCCACCCTTCAGTTTACTAACTGCTACAGAGAGATAAAATGACATATTTCACACATTCATACGGTTATTTATGAAAATGCAATGCAAGTTGCAGATGCTGTCTTTTTAAACTACCATGGAATCAAAACTGAATTTACTTTAAGCTTTACCTTTTTAATTAAAATGATTACAATTTATCTGTATTTGCTTGGTTCAGTAACAACTGTGTGATATTTTTGTCTGATAATGAACATTATGTTACCTGTGTTTGCCCCTCACTTCATGTGATACATAATGTTCTCTAGGAACTTGTGCTTTCTTTGAGAACTTACCCATAAGATACTGAATCTGTAAATCATGGTGTGAGAATAACATATCTTTTAAGGAGCCTAGAAAAATAAAGAATTATGTTTTTCTGACAATTATTATGTAAACTTTGGAAATTGATCTAATATAGCTTCCATTTTAATGAAATAGAATGTTTAGGTAATCTTGGGTTGGGTGCATGAGTATTAGTTATATATAATCTCTGCTTTTCTGAGTGTTTCTGGTATTTCACACATTTTTTAAAAATTATTGAATGAAATGAAAACCCATTAAGAGGTGATTTCTGTACGTCAAACCCTTAGATATTACTTAAAATAATATTCTGAATTCTTTAAAAATACAAATTCTCATTTTCCAGATAAGCCTTTGAGAAGTCACCTCTGTTACATGATGTGTTACTGTCACTGATACTCAGTTTTTTATATATATGTGTGTGTGTGTGTGTGTGTGTGTGTATATCTCCACTCCTCACTTCCCAACATGATTAGGTTCCAAAGAGTGGAATATATGGAGAAATTGGCATTAAGTGAAAATGGAGGATGACCACATTAGATCACAAATTTTAGATGATTACATCATTACATAAGTGCCAGGTTACATTGTAACAAAATTGCCAAACCACTGAGAATCGTAGCCCAGTCAAGCTGACACATAAACTTAACATCACAGCCAGGGTTCCTCTTACTTTGTACCTTGGCATTCATTACTGCCAGACATACATCATTACTACACAAAATAGTCAGATAGTAGATTTTGTACTATTGTCATAAGTGTGTCATAAATGTCATCTAATGAGATAATCGATAAGTGAGGAGTAGGTGTATGTGTATAAACCAAAAACCAAACCCATTGTCACCAAGTTGATTCTGACTCATAGTGGCCCCCGTGTGGTTTCCAAGGCTGTAAATTTTTGTACAAATAGATTGCTTCATCTTCCTCCTATGGAGCAGCTGTTAGGTTTGAACCACTGACCTTTTGGTTAGCAGCCAAATAACCTTACCCACAGCACCACCAGCGCTCCATATGTGTGTGTGTATGTGTGTGTGTATATATACACACACAAATACATATATATTTGTTCTTTAGTAGTAGTGAGTAGTGATAATTGTATTTGATCATTTTTTTGGCTAGTTTTCATTAACATCTTAGGGAGCAGCACGCATATGTTGAATAAACAACTGATAGCTCTTAGATTTTATAGGTGCTTCTGTGAAAATACGGGCTAATGAGGACTTAGTCACTAATTTGTTTCCCATGCTTGTCAATTAGCTTTTCTAGTTCTTCTATAAACTACCTTTTGAAAATGCAGAGAATATATTCTTGGTCTGGAAATTTCTATATAAATCTTTTTTTTTTGCAAAGAAGAGTAATTTTAGAGTTGCATCTTTTTTGAGTATTGACTTCCTTAGTTTTCTTCATCATTTCAAATGTTAAGAATGAAATACAGCAGATAAAAGTATTCACTATAGAATTTTACCATTTTCAATGATCTAGGTTAACCTGTGTGTGTGTGTGTGTGTTCATGTGTTCTTGTCCTGTCATTAAATTATTTGAAATTCTTTTTTCTCAGAATGAACCTTTTTAAAGTTAAATTAAGACTATCAGAGTAAAGGTATTTTTTTGTTTGTTTTCATTTTAGTTTTGGGTGGGCATCTTGATGTAGGTCTTAACTTCTACATTGGCAGAATTTGTTGAAATATTACTGTTTTATTTCTCTTATTTAGGAACAGCATCTGAAGATGGTAAGAATTATACATTTTGTTAGTAACACAAATACTTCTACATTAATAATTTCATTAGTAGGAATTAAATGTTAAAACTAAAATAGGCTAATTTCTTTGCAAATCTATATAATTTGCCAGCTGTGGTAGCTTCTACATTTTTATGTGTGGTTGTGTTAGTTCTATGTGTGGATTTTTTTTTTTTTCCTCAATTTTTCACCCTCTGATTTTGCTTTATATCTTGGATCATCACATGCTTGAAAAATGTAATTGCTTAGTATGTTTAATAACATCTAGTATTAAATTAGTATATAATTTCATTTTTTTCTTTAATGACATTAATGCCTTTCTTTTTGTGTTTTTATTTTTAAATTTATACCAATTCATTTAAACTTTGGGGGAGCATGCACCATTGTTTTATAATCATCTCATTATAATTTAAAAACATTTAGTGAGTCTGCTTTAAAGGTGTTTTTATTTTTGAGTCAGTGACTAAGAAGTGAGGTGTTTCATTTGAATTTGAAATTACAACAAAGTGCACATAAGAACTTCTTTTGCTGAGCCAGTGTACTTCTTTAAATAAGTATTTATTGCTTTTGAATTTGTAGAAAAATTCAGTCTTTATAGTTACTCTGCCTGAGGCTGTCTTATAAAGTCTCTGATTTGAAGCAATTTTTTTTTCTCTCTAAATTTTAAGTGAAAAACATTTTCTTTTAATACAAGTAGATACTTTTTCTGGTTTGGTTTTTACTTTGAAACGTGAAATATTTTCATATTTCAAGTTTTAAATCAAATTAATTATTAAAAACAGGATTTGTGACAATGTAATTTAGGAATTTTAATATCAAAATGCTTATCATATCCAAATTTGCTTGTTACAGATACTGTGAGTAAATTCTCCATTTCAAATCCATAGCTTGGTCTTTCTGTTTTCCCTCTTAGTCAGGAGAACATTGTGTGCTACTCTAAATGGTCTGTAAAAGGGCAAGAGGCCTAAACTGTGGGCCCATGTGGGAACTTGAAGTTGGTGGAATGCTAGAACTCGGTATCAACTAGACTTCTGTTTTATTCCCAGTTTTTATTTACCCTCCTGTCTTCCATCATACATTGCTTAATATTGAATTTTTCCTTATTCTTCCGGTATATCTTTTCCTAACTAATATTAGGCTATATTGTTTTTTTGCTGTAAAGCATACCTTGTAGCTAAAAAGACTCTGAACCATGCTTTATGATTGTGTTTGGTGCTGGTCCTGATTCGATAGCTGTTGAAACTGTTGTTTTTAGAGAACACCATAAAAAAAGCCAAAACTAAACTTACCACCGTCGAGTGGATTCCAACTCACAGCAGTCCCTACTGGGTTTCTAAGGTGGTAAACCTTTATGGATATAGATTGCCCTGTCTTCCTTCTGCAGAGCGGCTGGTGGGTTTAAACCACCAACCTTCTGGTTAGCAGTCAGATGCCTTAGGCACTATATGTTGTTGTTGTTGTTATGTGCCATTGAGTCGGACCCGACTCATAGCGACCCCTCCTTGGGTTGCCGAGAAAGTATCAACTACGGAAGTAGATTGCCCCATCTTCCTTCCGAGGAGTGGCTGGTGGGTTTGAACCGCCAGCCTTCTGGTTAGCAGGCAAGTGCCTTAGGCACTATGCTACCAGAGCTCCTTAGGCACTATATGTTGTTGTTGTTGTTGTTATTTGCCATCGAGTTGGCCCCGACTCATAGCGACCCCTCCTTGGGTTTCCGAGGCAGTATCACTATGGAAGTAGGAATGCCCAGCCTTCCTTCCAAGGAGTGGCTGGTGGGTTTGAACTGCCAGCCTTCTGGTTAGCAGTCAAGTGCCTTAGGCACTGTGCTACCAGAGCTCCTTAGGCACTATATAGTACCTGCTAAACACGTTGCCATCCAGTTGATCCGATTCATAGCAACCCTATAGGGCAGAGTAGAGCTACCCTAAGGTTTCCAAGGCTGTAATCTTTACAGAAGCAGACTGCTACATCTTTCTCCCATGGAGCAGCTGGTAGGTTCAGTTAGAAGCTGACCTTTTGGTTCACAACTGAGCACTTTAGCCACGGCACCACTAAGGCATCTTCATAGACCTGCTGGTGATACTGTATTCTATTGTTACTTGTTTGTTTTGTTTTGTTCTTAATGACACGGTACTTAAGAACTCTGGTAAACGTCATGTTCTTTGGTTCAAGAGCTCTAGAAATAGGGTGCAATGTCTTTTGCCTCGTGTTGTATAGAGAACCGTGGTAGAGGAGAGAGGGATGGAACTCAGGCAGTAGCGAGGTAGAGAAAGAAATGCATTGAGAAAAGTGTCAACTCTTATGTGCTATGTTTTTCCTCAAATCATTTTGTAAATGAAATTGTTTGGTTGGGGGAAGAGAGCAGTAGATATGTCCATATTCATCTGTAGCATTCTGGTGTTTTGACATGATTGAAAAATGAGATATATTACCTGGTAATATCTCTTACTGCAGTTCACTTAGAAATACTTTTTTGGTCAAGAGGGTTGTTTAGGTTTTTTTCTTCTAAGAATAGGGTTATATTTAAAACTGTAGACTGGATTTGAGAATAAGTGAAATATCATGGAAAATGAAATTTTAGAATTGGAACTACCAGTTAAGTAACAAGTAGTATATCTATGGTAATTATCTTAATTGTAAGTCTGATTTACTGGACTAATGTCAAAGTAAGAATGTAAGTTTTTTAGTTAGACTATATTCTTACCCTTAAAGGAAAGTAGGCTTGTGGTATACCATATAAAAAATAGTATGGATTTAAAAATTTTAAGGGAGATACAACCTGTGTGATGGTTTACCTTCTTACAGAATATAGCACATACTTGAAAAGCACTTCCAGTTAGAAAATATAGTGAATTTTCCCCCTAATTATGGAAATATTTTATTCCGCAGGCCGGGTGAGAGCAAAGCTTTCAGCACCACTTACTGGCATGGGAAGTGCCAAGACAGATTCCAGAGGAAGAAGTCGAACAAAAATGGTGTCTCAGTCACAGCGTATGTATTGTTTATCAGTTCTCTTATATTCGTCAATATGGTACAATTAAGTGTGTTGCTTATCAATTAACTGTATTGGGAGATTGACCAGTGGAAAAGAGAGAGGTAATTTCAAAAAAGATTAGCCACATACTGAGTTCTTGTTCTATGCTTTAGGTTCATCATCACCTGACAAAAATGAAGGTATTTTTTCAATGTTTTGGGTCAGTTGTTGTGCATGTTTTGGAATTTTTTTGAGTGGGTGTTGTCTTGTCTTTGATGTGTTATTAGGGCTGCATCATTGATATCTGCCACTTAGAAAGAAAAACCTCATCTGCTGTTAAAAAAAAACCTTTGCATGGAGATTTTAAAATAGCACATATCCTCAGCATTAAGGTTTCCACAGTCTACTCAGAAACTTGCAAATGTAAAAAATTGTGCTTTTTAGAGGTAAAATAATTGCCATATATTGGCATCAAAATCTGTCTACATCTAATTAATGCTATACAAGGGCAGATATATGATCTCTTCTTACTCTTCCCGAAATAGGTTAAACTACCTGATTTTTGGTCAGTATTTTTGCCAGATATATAGTGAGGAAACATAAATTGAAATGACCAACTCTGTTGTTATTTCATGTTAAATTTAAAATTTCTGTTTTTGCTGTTTCACTGGAAACTGATATCCTCATAAGCACAATTCTTAAAAAGCACAATTTTGAGGTCTAGGTAAAATGAATGATTCATCTCTACATGTTCCAGAATAGTGACATATATATTGCTTTATTAATTTAAAAGTGTTTATTCCCATTCCTTCTTTACCAAGAGATTTTCATGAACATTTATCTCTAAAAACAGGAAATTTTTCTAGGGAAGTAATTGTGAAAGGTTATTATACATACTTGGCTATTTTGGAAAGAAATGGATTTAACATCTTCCCCTGTTCAGGTGATTTATCAGACTACGGATGCTCACTTTGTCTGGTCTTTTACCTGATTCTTGGATCTCTGATCCTCTAATTTGAAATCAGTGAAAAGAGCTGGGGCTTTGTGGGCAGGTTGGTGACTGCACAAGTGCTTCCTAGCAGATTCTATTCTTTCTGTGGCTACTCAAACAGAATAGCCATGGGAGCAGTGAATGAGAGTCCTGTAACAGAAGCACAGATACTCGATAAACTTGGTTTGCAAATTGAGGATTTATTTGTAAATAGGAAAAATATCAAGTGTCTTCTAGGCAAGGGCTTTTCTCCCAGCTCAATTAGGAGTAGATCATATCACATTTTGCCCTCATCTTGTGTATTTTTTCTGTAATATTTAGAGTAACTTAATCTTTAGTAGTGCATTGTTGTAATTGAGAGCCTTGCTACTACTCCATATGTGGTCCACAAATCAATAGCATCACCATTATGTGGGCTCTTGTTAGAAATGTGGACTCTCATGTTCCATCCTAGATCTACTGAATCAGAACCTGCCTATTAACAAGATCCCAAATGATTTATACCTCAATAAGTTTGAGAAGTACTGATTCAGATTATAGATTCTGGACCCATACTGTCAGGCCTGAATTTGGACTCTTCCAGGTTATTTAAACTCTGTATTTGTGTATGTTGTTGTTGTTGTTATGTGCTGCCGAGTCAGACCCGACTCATAGCAACCCTTCCTTGGGTTTCCTAGACAGTATCGCTATGGAAGTAGATTGTCCAACCTTCCTTCCGAGGAGTGGCTGGTGGGTTGGAACCTCCAGCCCTCTGGTTAGCAGTCAAGTGCCTTAGGCACTATGCTACCAGAGCTCCTATATACTCATCTGAAATAAGTATTTTATCTCATAGGGTTGTTGTGAGGATTAAATGATGTAGTAGGTTTAATAAACTTAAAATAGTTTCTGGCCTAGAATAAGCACTATGTATGTTAGCTGATGAATTTTTTTTCAGTATTATTCCTAATCTAATGAAAATTGAATTTTGTATTCCTGTTGTGTAATTCTCTATCTTGTTATTCTTATGACATCCAGGAAACAGAAACAAATAATAATGAAGTTAGAAAGTTTAACGCATAAGAAAAATAAAATTTAGCAATCAGAAACTGTTCATGTTCAATGTCTTAAGAATAAAAGTAAATTGTATGTGAGATATTTTACTTGTTCTCTTCTAAAATAACATTAAGGTGGAACCCAGGGTAAAGTGTTCAGAGTGCTTTTATATGTTTTTTTAAAATATTACTTAAGGACTTCCCTTTTAGGTACCTTGTAACTACAGACAATTCAGTAAAACATTACTGTGTGATAATAAATCATACACTTACATGTTATAATAAATCATTTGTATGGTTTTTTACTTTTAAACCCAATCCAGAAGACTTCATATCCTCTACTAAAGTGTGAGAGCATAGTGATTGGATTTTAAACTTTCGGGATCTTTAAGATCAGAAGACTTTCTCAATATAAAAATCAATATAAGTTTTAAATCATATCAGAGAGATTTTTGTTAGTTTACTTATTTATCTGAATGACTCTATGTTCCAGTCCCAATTCTTTTTGTGATAGGTACTGTGACCTTATGTAATTTGATACAAGTTTCTTTACAACATACTTGCACAGAAATATTACTGGGATTTGCACCTTCACTTTGTTGAAAAGTAATTCATTAGGATTTGCGTGGTCTTTCCAAAGTTTTATATTACCACTTAGGAAAAAAAATCTCTTGGATCAAAGCAGGTGTGTTATGATGGCTAACTGAAATAAATAAAAGCAGACCCAATGGAGAAACTTCCAGATTTATATTTATGTAAGGAGTGTATCTTTTTTTGTTAATAGTGACTATTTGTGTACTGCTCAGCCTGTCGTAAATTTTGTCCCCCAACCTCACCCTGGTTTTATTTTTTTGTTGTCTGTCTTGAGAAAGATAAAATGTATAGCTTTTTAATGTAATCTTTCTTCAGCTGTAAGATATTGTTCTTAACCTATAGTTTTAAATTAAATGTTTAAACAATAAAAACTTAAACATTTAATTATTTGGAGTTTGGACTATCGACAGTAGAAAAGCTGAAGAATTTACATTTACTTTTGCAACTTCATTTCATCTGCTTTGTACATGAATGAATGTCTGATTTTATTTTATAAGCTACAAAAACTACTAAATGTACTGCTTTTATCACAGACATCTGTGGTTTGGGGTTTTTTAAAGTTTGCTTTTTTGCTGTAGGGTCTTTTGTTTTCTGAGAACTGACTAAAGCTTTCTATTTCCATTTGCCATCCATTTTAAATCTGCTCCTTCCCTCTTCATGGATTTATAACCCTTACCCTAATTCTACCTTTGCACTTGTTCAGGATCACAATCTGCTAATACTATTGGTGGTAAGAATTTATAGACTTTATGTGTGCATCTATTGTTTGATCACTAATTTTCATTCTTAAGAATGGGCTCTATTCAGCAGAAATTCTTAACATACAATATTCCATCATTTTGTAGCCACAATGAAGCAGAAATGATCAGTTAGGATTTTTTCTTTCACTTGTTATTATTACCAAAACCTTAGATTATTTAAATTATCTAAATTGACTTTACAAATATAAACATTCAGAAGCAAAGGAGTTTGAGTAATGCTTTGATAGTATCTCATGGAATGTATAAAGTTGGAAAATGTTAACCAAAGGAAGAGAAATGAGGTATCTAATTTCAAGTTTTGCAAATGAGAGTCTTTTCTAGTAACATGCTGTTCCCTAGGTACATCATGCCCTTTTTCATTTACTCTGTGGTTTCCCTAGAAGAAATAATTAGTGTTGTTTTCAAGCTTTAGTGGTTCTCTGCTGGTGAAAGAGCCTTGATTATTCTAAGCATAAATTATATTCTAAAGTGAATGGTAGGCACTGTTGGTGGGGCCCAAGGAGCCTTGGAGAAGAGATGGTAATGATTAAAGCAGAATGAATATGCCATTTTTTTCTAGGGGAAGGCATGAACAAATTTAAATATATATATAGTGAGCTTGCACAATTTTGATAAATTGAATAAATCTCAAGTAATTGGAGCAGTTACTGTGCTTCTATACTGCATGTTACCTATCTGCTGAATAGATCCACATTTCAAAGAATTCTCCACTCTCTCCCACCAACACCCCACTTAAAAAAAAAAATTATGTTGGTTATAACAGAATACCATATTGTATGTGGTCAGTTCATTATGTGTACTTTTTATATTGTTGCAACTTCTCTCATAAAATAATCCATCAGCTTATCTTGCATTGTGAGTTTGTGGCATGTTGAGTGTTTCAGTGTTTTGGTGTATATATTTCATTTAGATACTGCATGGAGAAAATAGGTGCCTTATAAATATCTTTAAAGTTATAATTGAAAAAAAACTGTTAAAGGTTTTTCACCTGAAATATCATGAAACATTCAAATGAGCCATCATTTAAAAGTACAGTTGAATAATTTTCCTACAATAATTTAGAATTCCTTCTACTCGGATAGGAATTGTTAATTTTATCAGAAACATTGCTTTGTTTTATAATATTGGCATAACTAGTGGAAGATACATTTCATTTTGTGTGCTGGTAAATTCAGGAATTAAACATGACTATAAATTGTACTCAGCAAGTCTATGCCAAAAAAAAAAAAACGGTAGCAGAAGTCACAGATCAGTAGTCTACATCCAGCCTGCCTCCATTCATGGAGTGTATGGCCTACACAACATGATAAAACTCAGGAAATTTCAAAGCTTTCATTTTTTAAAAAACTCCCAAAACCTGACTGGTATTGTTGGCGTTATGTGCCATGAGTCATCCATCTCATAGTGACCCCTCCTTGGGTTTCCGAGGCAGTATCACTACGGAAGTAGATTGCCCAACCTTCCTTCCGAGGAGAGCTCCCTTCTTCAGGACAAATTGCCTGGAACCAAAAAGCAGCCTCTCCCTTAGGAAAAGAGCAGGCACTTTGCTCCAGGTCACACCCCTTACCACTCCCAGCACTCTCTCAGGGCTCTTCCCCATCACCATTCCCTGTTTTTTCCCTTAATATTTGAGTCTTTGATCTTGCCTCTGTGGAAATTAAGCCTGATTGGGTAAGAGGATACATGGTATGTACAAGGTCTTGCCCTTCTGGTTAGGAGAAAAGAGGTATGTTACAAAAGGAAAAGTTAGCTTTCATGGAGATGCATTTAAGTGCAAGTTTGTTTTTCTTCTCTCTCCCTATAAAGTTACCACTCAGAATCTAGTGTTAGGTTATATCTTGGAATTATTTAGTCCATTTTCCCATTCAGTGCAGACATCTAATGCTTTGATTCACAGGGAACTCATTCTTGAAAGGTAATCAGTGCACTTCTGACTTAAAACTGTCTACTTCTCAGTTGGTTTTTTTTTTTTTTTCCATTCCATGGCTGGAGCTCTGAGAATACTCTGTCCAGCTCTGCCTCTCTAAGGAGGCCCTGGGTGATGCAAATGGTTAATGCATTGGGCTGCTAAGCATAAGATTAGAGGTTCAAGAACACCCACAGATGTCTTAGGAGAAAGTCCTGGCCATCTCCTTTCCCAAAAATCAGCCATTGGAAACTGTGGAGCACAGTTCAGCTGACACACATTGGGTTACCGGGAATCAGAATTGATTCACAGGCAGCTTTTTCTCAGTCTACCTGATCACCACATCTCCTCTGTCTTCCAAAACTGAAAATCATCAGTTCAAAAGGGATCTGACTTCTTTGGCATCTCCCCTTTGGTCCTAGTACCTCTACACTTAGTACATACTCTCTATATCCAGACTTGGCCACCCAGGAGGCTTTTACTATTTGAAAGCGCCTGTAACTTCCTCAATTTTCTTTTTCAGCTGGCCTGATTTTGCAAACATTTAAATTTTAATTTCGTGAAAATTTAAAAAATACATGTAGTAGTAAGATAGATTAACTCTTATAGCCGTTTAAGATGTTCTCCAGGCAAACTGTTTAACATGAAGTATATTAGCATTATTATGTTCTTAACACAAATAATAGCATTAATAGAATTACTAACTTTTTTTCCTTTTAAATTTAGCTTTTCGTAAGAATATTTTAGCCATATGCAGTATATTGTCGGATAAATGGTTTCTTGGAAATCTTTTATACCATTTGTATTTTGAATATTTTAATAATGTTGTCCTTATTAAGCTTAGTATCGTATAACCCCCAAAACTGAAAACATAATTTAGGTGACTTATTTTTCAATCCTTGAAAATATAAATATAGTACAGTAAAACCTGAGAAAGCTGGAGCATGTGTAATGCTGAAGGAAATCTCTGTTATCAGAGAAGGAAATCGCAAATATTTATACTAATAGAGATTGATAGAAAAGTGGTAAGGCTAGACCCCTGTCAAAGTCAGAAAACTTGAGAGACCTGGGAAAACATAGCAGCCCTGTTGAGTTCTAGCTCTCAAAGGTTTTACTGTATACTCTTCTAGGTTATGATTATGTAAATCTTCCCTGATCTGTTTCCTTTGAACTTAGAATCTGCCATTCTATCACAGTTCTTCAGATCTCTCTTTAATTTTCATCCTTCTTTCAGCAAGTTCTTAGAATTCATATCTTAATTGTACATGTGTTTGGTGTTCAGCTGGCAGCCGGTCTGGGTCCCCAGGAAGAGTTCTGGCCACGACTGCCCTCTCCACTGTGAGTTCCGGTGTTCAAAGAGTCCTGGTCAATTCCGCATCAGCGCAGAAGAGAAGCAAGATACCACGGAGCCAGGGCTGTAGCAGAGAGGCTAGTCCATCGAGACTTTCAGTGGGTAAGATTTTCTGTGTGTGAGTTGGGACTTTTTATTTCTTTTGTATTTCATACTTTGGTAGTATTGAAGGCTTTGGAATATAGTTAGGCACTGATAAGTTAGAGGAAAACAAAAATTCAAGAATTGATTGAAATAAAGGTGATGATTTGAATTAGGTATCTTATCTTAAAAGTATGATTGCTAGTGGCTCTTAAAATATAGCTAGCATTTTAACTTTCACCCAAAGCACAATTAAAAAAAATATACACACACACATACATATATGTATGTATGTATATATATGGCTAGCAGTTTAAAGCACAGAATTGTTATGTATTCACATTTGTCATATATA